AAGTTAATTTTCTAGTGGTCACCTCTGTTTTCCCCTCGTTGACGATCATGCGGCAGCAGTGTGGATAAATGTCACATTTCTTTTGACGATACCCGACCACATATTCCAATTTTATGAGGCTGAAATTCTCGCGAGAGAGGACAATCGTGTGAGCTGTGTATCCTGCTCTACGACTCCCAGTTTATAAACAGTTGTAGCGAACTTCGCAACCCATACTCGATGCTGACGCATAGTTAGGATAGAGCACTTTATTGCTCGTGGGGCGCCCATGTGGGCGCGTATTCTAACGTCAGCCAGAAAGGTGACCGAGCAATTATCACGCTCACACGAGCAATCAACGTTCAGAAGGTCGCGACCCGCATCTTGGCCACTGGGGCACAAACTGACAACTTTATTCAAACGAAGGGAAATCGTTCATGGTAATAGATAGGCAGTAGTATATGGCCCATATCCTATAACATTCAAAGGCCCTGTGTATGTATCACTCGTTTCTGCTGTTATTTCTGAGGAGGGATCCACGATGGAATCCAAAACGGCCGGTGAATTGATTTCTTGTCCCACCAATGTCAGTTGATTCTTTCAGTTGCTATTTGAACAGACGGTTCTTGTCCCGTTAGCATCCACTTATAAATGATGTTTGAGTTGAAGTCTGCTTGCAGATGTCATTTACGATTAAGAGGAGTTAGATGCATAAAGAGCATTCAGAAGAGAGCGCGAAAACTGTGCCACTTTTGAAAAACGCTAAAGTCTTTCAGACTCTAGATGGTACTCTAAATGTTTGCGACTTCACCGGTCTCAAACATAACTGCTATTTGACATTCATCCTTCTATGTAATATGCAAATTAAACATTCCTTATAGTATCTACTTAGCTGGTTTCATGTGTGTCTTTCACGGAAGTACCTAAGATGACTGGATAATAATGTCTATTGCATTAACGGACCGAAAGGGCAACATCGATATGTCATATACCCATCACATTTGGTTTGTGAATTGTTTCCTAGCTGATAAGGTCTAAGCTGGCTGTAGATAGATGAATAACTTGACACGACTAGCACATTTTTTACGATTATAGTTGATGGAAATTCAGTTGCTTATCTATTCTTGAATGCTTTCTAATTAGTTGTCTGTCGTGAGGCTCTCACCACAGATAAGGTTAGTCCAAAGTGTGTGGACCAAAGTGCTCGTTTTCATCACAAATGGCGATAAGAACCTGATTTCTGTTTCAATGTCTCAAAGTCCAGCCAGTCACCCATATGAGAGCCGTAGGCTGTCGTGGAATATTTAAACAGAAGGCGGCATTAAACCCCCACACTAACTCTGAATAGTAATGAGGTATCCTAAAATGGCTATGTCAAGTCGACTAACCCCATTCATTTTCGGTATTCACGTATATGCATTAACATAAATACAGGTTTCAAAAAATATTTAATTTGGAGGAGGTTAACATTTCCTAGAAAGATATAATTTGTAATGCATACATGTTTAACTCAGGTATCCCAGCTCCTTGTTAGGAGGTAAGCAGTGTATGGAAACAATAAACTAATTAACAGTAGCATTACTGCGGCATTAAAAGCCACAAACACAATCCTCAAATACAAATCCAAAAGAACACAAACAATCTCTAAGGGAGGAGGAAATACGCAGCTAGTGTTCAACTGAAGATAACATTTGAAGACATATTTAATTACAGTTCACAGTCTTGCGACGAACTGCAGGCTCAATCTCGAACTCTTAGGTATTAGAATATCCAAAATGGATCCGAAAAAGCAGAAGGAGGCCGGAACGGCCATTTTTGGCTTGTTAGCTATCAGCAGCCACTCTATGGCCATATCGTCGTAGTCATTATGTAACTGCCTAGGCGGGCTCTAATGGTGACCTCCTGGACAGTGCGGAACTTAACTGTTAGTCTACCAGATCAGTGAAGCACGTATGTTTAATCATATTCCCGATCTCAACCGACAGAGCAATGAGCCGTGGTAGAATGCTAAACTCAATGACCAAAGGTTCCGAGTTCGAATCCCGGAGATTCCAACCCTTAAGATTGGGTATGACTGGCTGATGACAGCTGACAAACGAGAAATGGCCATTCCGGTCCCCTTTTCCTTTGGCGGATCTATTTACTCATCATATTTTCATAGTCACTTTACGACTTCCTGCGTGGTCTTTAATTGCGGGCTCCTGGGCAGAGCGAAACACACATGTCCATTAAAGTATCTATTCTTCCAAGGAATTTAGCCCCTACTTTTTTATATCGGTACACACGTTGGCAAGCATTACTAAATAATCCATTTTTAGGAAGATGCGGAGCGCCGCGTTGGCAGGTATGTGATTTATCAATGCCCGGTTACCATTAGATTGACTGAAAATCGGAAAGGTTAGCATGCCTTTTATCTCCTGAGATCTGCTTACGTCAGTAGTGGTACGGTAACTCCACTTTTATATGTCGTCTGTCCGTCGTTTTTTGAAGAAAATTCCTTATAGGAGACCAAAAATAAAAAGGCTGCACCCGCTTGTATGGTTGCTAGAAGCAAATCCTGGTTGTGAGTGTGTAGCACAATGCCTTTCAACTTTTGAAAGGGCCAAGCATGTAAACAAATATTTTTTTGTGTAGCACTATTTGGCAGGCAGTACACATGTACAGTATGGCGTGTGCTGCATGAAAAATGCGTAATTATTTAAAAGCCTGATCATTACTCGCATGCAGGCGCAAATGCATTTGCAATAACTTAGAAATACTACCGAACAACATTAGAAATATTAAGTACATAATATAACTATAAGCAGTAATGGTTGTTTTTTAAGAGAAGTAATATTGTCTCGATAATCCTCAAGTGCCGGAGACGTACAAATAGCTATAAATTAGAACAATATAATTATATCTTGAAAACTTTACGTAACCACTTTCTTTATATAAAATATCTTTCATTTGGTCAAAAGATTTTTTACCTATAATAATTAATGGATAAATATTGATATAATATCTTCCTTTTAAGGTCTGGTATTATTTCAAGCGTTTTCTGTGTGTTCATGTGTTCATCCATCAATTGAAATTCATTTCGACGTTTACATCAAAACCTTTAAAATAAGATATACACGATGAGCACTTACCGAAAAATGAGCTTTTGGATATAAGGTCTTATGAAGGTTGTCATGTTAATCATATTCAGAAATGCCTCAAAACATATTATGGAGCATAAAGAACGTGCACAACATAACATTTATATTGTAATTCTTGAAATAAATTAAAAAAATTTCTATAATAGGTTACCTCTTCAAAACGTGCAATAATGAGAAATTTAGCTGCTGAAATCCTTTAAATATTGACTTGACATACCTAAAGATTAACGATTCAATTGGATCAAAAATCAAAGAAATTGTTTTGCTTATTATAATCGATTATTTTGCGCCATAGTGTAATAATTCCAGTATGTTCGTTGCTTTGGTTGCGAACGCGAAAACATAGTAGCCATATATACGACAATTTTTCGAAAAAAAGAATATTTTTTCCGTCTGTTGTGTTTCCTAATAACGCATAAGCAGAACCTTTAGTTTACAAAAATGTATTTATACGTGACTAACTTTTAATAGGGCCTACTTTACATTACCTTTGCGGTCACATATATGAACACTTCGCTTTTTTGCCATCTAAGTGATGCGGTAAAAGAAAAGGCGACCAAAATATCTTCGCTACTGCATTTTGTGGATAAAACACTTCATATGTTAGCAAACATAATTTTTGAAACACAAATTGTTCCTTCGTTCTGAACTTGGCCTCATCTGGCTTCGCTTGCTTCTGAAAAATTTCGGACCACATTTTCTGGTTCTGGGAAGTTTTCTATAGAATAATGCACATGAATAAAATTTTTGCTTCTTTCGTAGTTAAAAGCATAGGGAATGCCTCTGATATGAGGTGATTCCCAACTTCTCCAAAATTAATCCACATTCTCCTCAATAAACTTACCTATAAGTGCGATTTCCTTGACAAAAGTACTTTGCAGGATCAAAATAACGTGACCAAAAGTATGAAAAAATACCAAGTTGCGTTTCGTCATGAATTTTGAATTGAGCGCTCGCCATATTGTACATTCTTGTCTTTGTATAAATACGACAGCAGGCATTCCAAGAAATGTCATTTCAAAGTCATTTGTTTTTGGAAAACAAGGTAACCTTTTTCAGTAAGTTTCCGGCTCTACTTCCCCTGTTCGCCTTTAGACCTACAATAATGTTTCCATTGATTAGTCATATTGTGTAAAGCCTAGTTAGCGCCTGCCATATGCGTCAGCATGTATAAATCGGCCCTCGTCTCTTCCATTATGTACCTGGCATCTAAGTCAATATATTGACTGACGTATAATACACTGGATTGCATTAACTCAAGAAATTGTCGGATATATTTGGTCTCCGTACTCTGATGACACACGTTTTGTCTTATGCAAAGAGTTATCTTGTATCAGGTAGAGTGTGCTCACTTCTGACAATGGTCTATGACTATTCACATCTAGCTGGTGCTCGGGATGCCTGTGGAGGCGGACTTTCGCATTTGGCCACCATATATAGCATCACAAGCTTTGCATCAAAACTTAACAACGATTTCCGTTCTTTCGAGAGAGCCAAGCAAATGCTTTGCTTGAAAAAAAGCAGGGTGCGTGAATAAGTTGTCAGTTGTCCTTTTCTTGTTTTTGGTATGCCACCCAAGGCTTCCGATTATTAGGTGTCCCTATCGACGAGCTTATTCCAAGATTTATGTCAAATTGCTTATTGATAACTAAATCGCTTCTATTTCTTTGTGAAACCATGTGTTCTTGGCCAGGGAGAAAAAAATCTATTCAGTCCATTAGGTTATGGTGGCTCTGTAAGCAATAGAAAGAAGAGATAACCTTTCTGAAGAACTTAGTCCACAGAGTGCATAAATACTTGAATTTGTTTTTCATCAGGCGGCAGCAGAATGAATTAATCGTAGTAGTATGGGTAAATTGCCGATGTGAGGATAATCGTACTCTCAGGGACTTTATATCACTATACTTTATTACCAATACAAACAGCCGTACCGTTGTTGAGATAAACATTGTCCAAACTCACATAAACGGTAGATTCATGCAAAAAAGCTGTCAACAGAGAAAATTATAATGTGGTATACCCAACGATTTCTACTGAGGAATATTTTATAGCCGCGAAATAACTTTTGCTTAGGGTAAACAACGGGACATACAACAAACCATTTATGTTGATAATTTAGATCACCTAGTGCTCACTTTCAAACTTTTTCCTCAATAAACATTTTTAATATTCGAAATAATAACAAGTGAGGGTAGGCTGCACTTGGGTTGCTCCTACGTCCAGCGGAAATGTCGTAACTATTAGACGTGGTAGACTTTCGCTGGATACGATAGACCACACGCAAAACCTATAGCAGACTCATTACAGCTAGAGCGCCCGTGAAGTGAGCCAACGTGCATCCTTTTTGAGTCCGTGTATAAAAATATTTTTTGTTGCACGTTTATATTCACTTTGCTACATCACGTTTTGTTTAACAAGACGTCAATAGTCTCAGTAGTAAAGCATAAGTCCTGTGTTAATTTTTAGCTGTCTCATCGACCAGTGATTGTCTAACTCTACCTGTAACTGCTATCAACAGTTTCCCTGCCGCGTGTCATGCTTTCTTTAAGTCAACTCACTACGAAGAAAAAGATTATATTATTTTGCATCTAGCCATTAAATAGGTCCTGCAAGTCCTGCAAGCAACCTGTCTTAGTTTGTAAATGTTTGATTATTTCTCGCATCCCAGCGAGAACGCATATACGAAAACGTTAAAAATAATAGTGGGCAACATTAGGCAAACTGAGTACTAAAAAGAACTATAAGAAGTACTAAGTGTTTGTTAAGAAAAATAAACTTTCTCTATAAGCCCCAGGTTCTGGAGACGCAAAAAAGTTATTAATTAGAACAATAAATTTAAATATTTTGTGAAGTATAAAAGTTAAAGCAACCACTTTCTTTACATAAAAATAACTTTTCTTTAGTGAAAATCTATTATAAATATCATCATTAGTGGATCACTGTTTATTGAATATCGTGGAATGACGTCTCATAATTTCGCTCATTTACAGTGTCTTCATTGAAAAGTTGATAAATTGTGCTTCTGTTCGACGTTTACATCAAAACCTTTAAACTAACCTTATAAGTAAACAGCATTTACCGAAAAAAACGAGCTGTTGGATAATAGTTCTTATAAAGATGGCCATGTAGGTCATATTTATAAATGCCTAAAAACAGCAAAACACATTGTCGAGCATACAACATGTCTGCTAGATACCACACATATTGTTATTC